TAGATTGGTAAACAAAAAATACGGAATGAACTGTTCGTAAGTAGATTACTGAATCTGAATTCCAGGCATCTCCCCCCCCCCCCTCCCCCTGCCCCCTCCCCCCGAAAGAAAGCCTACCCCCTCCCCCCCCCCCCCCCCCCGAAGGAAATAGAATTTACATAGAAAATTTGTACTTTTACTCCCCGCCCCCGGAATATAGCGCTTTATTAAAATAATTATTTTCCGCATTATTATATTGAGCGGATAACTATAGACCTACTGCACCATGTTGAAGTGTGCACGACCAACATTAAATAACTATGTGCCTTTTTTTTTTTTTTTCAAATACCACTTATTTATATAGAATTGGAAAATAGTTATTTTTTATATGCTAATGGTTGAAAACTAAAAAAGAAAAGATCAAAATTGTCCCTAACTCAAACACACCTCGATGCTCAATTGTATCCAAAATAGGACATTGTATTAATTTGAACGTTGAGCTACGTGTAACAACAGCAACAACATGTGAACGTATGTATGATAAATCAACCACGATTTTAAAAAAAAAACGAATTTTTGTCAAAGACGTCCTCTTCTTTTCTAATTTAGGAGCAACCTGGCGTTTAATCGCATGACCCGGATGTTGTCTAACTTGAGTTTGGTCGACTGCTATAGACTGGATTCCAAACTCACGCAAGAAGAGAGAAACGAGATAATGTTGCAGGTAGATAACTCTGAGTTGATTTAGAGAACTCCTAAAAGTGGGTACCCTTACTACCGAAAGGAACTTACAAAGCAGTGGCGTAGCGAGGTCGGGTGTCACCCGGTGCGGCACTTAATGGTGTCACCCCCCCAGGGGCGTTTGCGACCCCTTTCAAGTTTTCAATTTGCACCCCCCCCCTCAAACTTTCGATTTGCACCCCCCCCCCCTCAAGTTTTTGATTTGCACCCACCCCCCCTCAAACTTTCGATTTGCACCCCCCCCCCCTCAAGTTTTTCTCTATATATTTTGCTATTTTTTGCCTTGGTGTCACCCCCCTAAATGGTGTCACCCGGTGCGGTCAGCACCCCCCCGCCCCCCCCCCCCCCCCCCCCCCTCGCTACGCCCCTGCTTACAAGGCCCACACTTTTGAAGTCAGTTTTGTACCGAAAGGAACTTACAACTATTCAAACACATTTAAAATAAAGGCCCACACTTTTGAAGTCAGTTTTGCGTTTACTTCCCCATTTTCCATATCTTTCCACATTTTAGCCAGAATATAAAACAGCAATACGATTTAAGAGCAGTGAAAAAGTACGCTACTGTGTTGTTCTGTCAATATTTTTAATATTTTAAGAATCTTTAATTTCACAAATTATAATATTGGGAGATTGTTGAAATAATCAAGAAGTCAACATTTACGAATGTTACATGTGAAATGTTTTACATTTTATTTTGTTACATTTTTAGAGCGCCAAGGATAATTTGACAAAACTCTTCACTTTTTTTGGATTGGTCGAATACCAAGAAGAGGGACAACTCTTGCTGGAGAAAACAATTTTAGGGTTAAAGTTCAAAACCCAGATCTCAAGCCAAACGTCGACAATAGCTACTAATTACGCCATGCTGTCTGAGCACCACTGGAGCAGCATCATCCAAAAGAATTTGTTAGATGTGCGATTGTATCAGTACGCTAAAGATCTTTTTCTCCAGAGATTGGAAAAGTATGATATTAAATTAAACCCACGTCAGAACGAGGCTTTGCGAGTAGAGCAAGGTTTCAGGTACACTACAATAGATGTATGAAATATGTTACTTAAAGTAAAACTGACGCTCATTGAAATAAAATATAAATGCAAACGTAGCTGAAGAATAAATATAGATAACAACACTGGTTCGAGTTGAATTTATTTATTAGCATTACATTTTTTATGCATGTCAGTAGTCCTATAACTATACGATGTCTTATTTGGTGGTAGATAATACTTCGCCAAACCTGAAGGTCCAGCGTTAACTAGGTCCCATGTCTAGGAACTTTAATTAGTCTACCAACATTTAATTTGGTCCAAAGTTCACCAGCTGTAATTGGGTCCATTGTCTACCAAACTTAAATTTGCTTCAGTGTCAACCAATCTAATATCGAGTCCAATTTCTACCAACCTTTATTTAGATCCAATGTCTACCAATGTTGTTTACATACCAATGGCAAACTAAAACGTTCATAACATGCAAAATAATGTTAAGGTTAGGAGGGGGAGTACATATCTACACATGTATTTCTGATCATAAGATGATGGTTAATGGAAGTAAGTAAGTAAAGTTTCCCTTTCATACCTGACGGTCTATGGGGCAAGTGAAGTAGAGTTCACTTGTTTCTGTGACCTCGGCATATGAAGAGATAGTGTGGTCAGCACTATGCCCAGCTGCCTTTACTTTCCCTAACGTGAGTTAGGTACCCATCAGAGTCGGGTGGACTCAGGGACGGTCTACTGACTTGAACCCGGATTCGAACTCGAGACTTACTCCGTCCCTTTTAATGGAAGTAGTTGTTGATATATCATTCCCCACACGATGATTGCGGAGGGGAGGGGTGGGGGAGCACGGTGGATGCCTAAAAGAAACTCTAGGTGGGTGTGCTGGGGGGGGGGGGGGGGGGAGATGGGTTGTATTCTAATTGTATCATACTACTGCATTATTAAATTTGGTAGTGTTTATTTATTACATGTTGTAGTTACATTTGTTTTGTTAATAATTGATTTCTCTCTAGTTCCTAATCAGTGTTTCTTTTAGACTTTTTCTATGGGGGGGGGGGGGGGTGGGGACTTGATATTTTCGTTGATGGGGGGGGGGCTGGATTAAATCTGAAAAAAGTATATATACTTTCTATATAATTTCCAATTCGATCGGGGGTGGGGGGGCGGTCGAATTTCTTTGGGGGAGGGGGAGCAGAGAAGCATGGAAGAAACTATGTTCTTAATTACAGTAAATAAATATTCAATTATATTTCAACGCTATTTCTTTTCGACAAAGGTTGCAGCACTGTTGTTGTCTAGGTTTAACGGTCTAAGGGAAATAACTATGAAATATCTGTATAACTCAAGACACATAAGTTCCTTCCCCCAAATTTGTTTTGCCTTCTTTTATTGTGATTAGCTTAACCCCAACATGTGGTGCGTAAATGCTTATAAGACCTTAAATCCACATTAAACAACTTATTATTCCAGTTTTTACCCTCCCTCTCAACATATAAAAATCATTATTAATAATTTTGTCAAAATTAGAAAACTAAATTATTTCCAATCCCTATAACGTTTTCGTTGTGAGGCCCAATATGTGACAAAATTACCATTTATGGACATTTCTTTCCGTTTATAACAAGTACTTTCGTTTTAATAGATTTCTTACTAACACATTAATTTTGGTTACATATATTATATCAGTCTATGGTTAACTGTTACATGGCTAAATTAAATTTATTTAAAAAAAAAATCTAAATTTAAAATAGAAAAAACCCCACACTTTATACCTTTTGTTCAGATTAGTGTTGATGGGTAGATGGGGAGGGGTTGGGGTGGGGTGGGGGGTAAAGATACTGTTCTAGTGAGTGTGTCATCACCGTGTTATTGGCCAACCTATAGGGCCTATAGGCCTTGGCATGATGGGTAACGCGATGTAAACAAACACACCAGAACAGATCACAACTCAGTTGACTTAGCGGACTATTTGAAATTTTGAACGTGTCGCCGTTGTCTATTTGATTCCTGTCTCAATATTATTATTAATTAATTATTATAAAATAACTATGTTAGTGAAACTGTGACCTGTGTCCCTTCGGCATGTTGATTACAACCAGTTGAGGCAGAACTTCAACTAACATTAATTGACCACAACTTTAAACTAAACTAGGAACTTAACATCAACCGCCAGACAGGCTATCTGTTGGCTGCCACAAACTAGCAGTATGAAGATGTAAGTCAAGTAAGTTTTGATTTATTTATTTTAGTCAACATTGTTGTTGAGATTTACTAAGATTCACATTTAACTTGTTTTTTTTTCTTGTATAAAAAACCGATCTAGAGATCTACAGGCCTACACAAAAATGGCCCACTACTGTATCGTCTCCATAACACTGATAAGACACTAGAATCTAGATCTCGATTCTGATCTATTACCATTAATAGGCTAGAATGGCTTATTTTAGCATTAATTATGTCTATAAAGATAGTAACACTTTCGTAAGTATCTTAAGCGTATTCGGTGCTTCTTTTAGACGCTTATTTCGTACAAGGGGGGTGGGGGGGGGGGGGTGGGGGGAATGGGGGGGGGGGGACACTTGCATTTTTTTCTTTGAGGGGGGGGGCTTAATTTTTCTTCGGGGGCTCCCCCGCCCGAAGAGAAACCAGAGTTTCTTCCAGGTATCTCTTCGGGGGAAATAGAATTTATATAGAAACATATACTTTTACCAGTGTCCGCCCCCCCCCCCCCCCCCAGTGTTTCTTCCAGACTTTTTTCTCAAGGGTGGGGGCACTTGAAATTTTGGGGGGCGGGGGGTGGTAGACTTTCTTCGGAGAAATGCCTGAAAGCAACTCCGCCCCCCCCCCCCCCCCGGAAAATGTTGTCCGCCGCCCCCCCCCCCGTCCCCCGTCCCCCGAAAATGTCAGCTAATGCTAATAAATAGTCCCTGGTTCTTGTATTAGCAACACGTTATATTGGTGAGTCAAACACTTTATACTCCTGGCTTCTGTGCCATTTTGTCATGTCATGTATTAGTGACTCACTGTTATGTTAATGTGTCTGTGATATCAAGTCATTCTCATATTTTAGGGACACATTTTGTTCCCTGTGTAGTGGAGTCAATCATTAGCTAGACTGCTATCAACATCGTTGATATAACTGGAATCATCACACTTTGCTTCATGTGTAATGGAATCAATCAGTAGTTAGACTGCTATCAACATCGCTGATATAAATGGAATTATGCTGACACAGGCTACTGAGACCAGGTAATTTTACTGAGTTCTTAAAACACTGAGGTTGTCGTTCATATATAGTGGATGGTGATTGGGACAGATGGTAGAGATGGTGGTTGTGACAGATGGTGGAGATGGATTGTGACAGATGGTGGAGATGGTGGTTGTGACAGATGGTGATTGGGACAGATGGTGGAGATGGTGGTTGTGACAGATGGTAGAGATGGTGGTTGTGACAGATGGTGGAGATGGATTGTGACAGATGGTGGAGATGGTGGTTGTGACAGATGGTGATTGGGACAGATGGTGGAGATGGTGGTTGTGACAGATGGTAGAGATGGTGGTTGTGACAGATGGTAGAGATGGTGGTTGTGACAGATGGTAGAGATGGTGGTTGTGACAGATGGTGGAGATGGTGGTTGTGACAGATGGTGGAGATGGTGGTTGTGACAGATGGTAGAGATGGTGGTTGTGACAGATGGTGGAGATGGATTGTGACAGATGGTGGAGATGGTGGTTGTGACAGATGGTGATTGGGACAGATGGTAGAGATGGTGATTGTGACAGATGGTAGAGATGGTGGTTGTGACAGATGGTGGAGATGGTGGTTGTGACAGATGGTGTAGATGGTGGATGTGACAGATGGTGGAGATGGTGGTTGTGACAAATGGTGGAGATGGTGGTTGTGACAGATGGTGGTTCTGACAGATGGTGGTTGTGACAGATGGTGGAGATGGTGGTTGTGACAGATGGTGGTTCTGACAGATGTTGGTTGTGACAGATGGTGGAGATGGATTGTGACAGATGGTGGAGATGGATTGTGACAGATGGTGGAGATGGTGGTTGTGACAGATGATGGAGATGGTGGTTGTGACAGATGGTGGTTCTGACAGATGTTGGTTGTGACAGATGGTGGAGATGGATTGTGACAGATGGTGGAGATGGATTGTGACAGATGGTGGAGATGGTGGTTGTGACAGATGATGGAGATGGTGGTTGTGACAGATGATGGAGATGGATTGTGACAGATGGTGGAGATGGTGGTTGTGACAGATGATGGAGATGGTGGTTGTGACAGATGATGGAGATGGATTGTGACAGATGGTGGAGATGGTGATTGTGGCAGATGGTATTGATGGTGGGGATGGTGATTGTGACAGATGATGGAGATGGTGGTTGTGACAGATGGTGTAGATGGCGACTGTGACAGATGGTAGAGATGGTGATTGTGACAAATGGCAGAGATGGTGGTTGTGACAGATGGTGGAGATGGTGATTGTTACAGATGGTGGAGATGGTGATTGTGACAGATGGTGGAGATGGTGGTTGTGACAGATGGTGTAGATGGTGATTGTGGCAGATGGTGTAGAATGTGTAGATGGTGATTGTGTCAGATGGTATTGATGGTGGAGATGATGATTGTGACAGATGGAGATGGTGATTGTGACAGATGATGGAGATGGTGATTGTGACAGATGGTGGAGATGGTTATTGGGACAGATGGTGGAGATGGTGATTGTGACAGATGGTGGAGATGGTGATTGTGGCAGATGATGGAGATGGGTGATTGTGACAGAGTGGAGATGGGTAAATGTGACAGATGACGTAGATGGTTATCGTAACAAATGGTGTAGATGGTGACGGTTGATTGTGACATGATGGTGGAGATTGGTGATTGTTTCACACAGTGTAGATGGTGATGGTGACGAATGTTGGCGATGTTGATTGTGACAGATGATGGATATGGTGATTGTGATAGATGGTAAAGTTTGGTGATTGTCTCAGACGGTGTAGGCCATGAACTTTTATAAAATTATATCTTTTTGTCAATATTTACGCCTCGATTCTATAAAATATTAATTTCTGGTTGTTTAAGTATGGTGCTAATAAAATGTTAGTACTATTAAAGCACATTTTCAAAAAAAGTTAAATGGAATAGAATTATCAAAAGCAAGTTTTAATATCTTTTTATTTTTTTTGTCATATCTACTTTTTTATTTTTATTTTGAAAATCGCTCGTGCTAATTCTATCTTTGAAACATTTTCAATTTTGTTTTTAACAACCCAGGTCATAAGGTCATCAGGTCAAGTGAAAACGTTCTGACAAGGAGCAATACCAGGGAATGAGCAAGAGGAGGGCAGAAGAAGGGGACAACATCAGGGAATGAACGGGTTAAAAACTAGGAGAAGCATTGGGGATGGCAGAAGACAGTGTGGGATGGAGAAAGATGATCACAGGGAAACCAGTGGCACCAGGTTAAGTCAATCTAGACTAAGTGATAGAAAAATAAGGTGTCTTATTATTTTAATATAGTTAATTTTTATTGACATGTTTTATAAAATATTGAGGAATCACTGTTGTGTTCTGATGTGCACATTGAATCTACATTGAAACCTACAACCTTTAACTAAAGTTAGAGAATCACCGCTGTGTTTTCTTTATGTGACAAATAAGCTGCTCTTTCTTCACAAGTAGTCCCCTCTACCATTGATCCAGTGGAGAAGCAGAAACATCAGTTAAGAGGATAAAAATTCTGTTTATGAAAAACAAGGATAGTCAACCCCTAGCTTTGGTAAAGCATCCCATCATGCCTGAACAAATCTGTATACTCTACTATGTCTACAGTCATTTTTCAACACAGCTAAAACTACCCTCAACATCCCAAAACCTGATGAAACCACAAGTCTCTGAGTATTTGAAGGTCAATACTAGAAACACAGCAGGAAAGATCAGCTACATGTTACAACACTTATGCTAAAGACTGGTCATTACTTGTAGAGGGTGATCTGGTTAGACTTAAACCCTACTCTTTTGGCACTCAAAATAGAAAAAGGCTTGATCAACAATCTGTGAAGTGAAATCTGGTACTGCTACTCTCTATTGCAATCAAGCTCATCTCAAGAGAGCATTGACATCTGTTGACCAAACATCTCCAACTTGTGGCTGTTTCCAACACTGTTCCTGGGATAACACAATGTAATCATGAAACTAAGTCTAATTAACACCAAACTCTAGAAATAATCCAATCATCCCAGAAACAAATACTGCTACCTACTCAGAAGGATTTCCTATTTTACCATGCTGTGGTCATGACGTCTAAGAACAACCCATGAAAGCCTTTATTTATGTAATATAAAAGACAAATGTAACTATCATAACTTTAATTCAATGTTATACATAATTTGTTTTATTTATCTGTTAAAATATCCTTGTATGCATTTCATGATGGTAATCACATATTTGCCCCTTTCTAAGAAAAAGGGGATGTAATCATGTTATATTATCCTCTATTATGATTTTTGCCTCCCTTTTCTGTTACACACCTTCACATAATGTTCATTCATGCATAGATTGGCAGGTTTATAACTGCCAATATTTGAAAATTTTACTTTAAAGCTGTCCTTAACTGTAACCCTATCAAAATTAGGTTAATCAACAATTAATTGTTTTGTAATGTGCCCCTTAAAAGCTGCCCTAACTTATGCCCCTATAAAAAAATGGAATAACTGTTTTGTTTACACTATGTGTCTCATTGGGGCTACCCTTTCTTATATCCCTATCAAAAGTTGGAAAATGAACAATGTTTTATTTAATTGCTCCATTAATGCTACCCCTTTAATTGCTCCATTAATCTACCCTTACTTATACCCCTATCAAAAGGTTGGAAATTGAAAATTATGTTTTCTTTAACTGCGCCATTTAAGCTGCCTTTAATTATACGACTATCAACATTTAGGGAATCAAAGTTTTTTTTCCTCATTATTGGTCTCATTGAAGCTGAGCTTATTAACAGTTGGGGAAATTTGCAGATATTTTCTTTATGTGCCCCACTGAAGCTGCACTTATATATATTCTATTAAAGGCTGGGGAATAACACATATTTAATAGCCCCATTAAAGCTGCTCTAACTTACAAACTTTTAGCTTCAGTGCTTACATCCTACAACAGATTTATGTGTGATATTGGTTTTGAAAAAAATCTAAACTCAACTTTACCTCAACTAAACTGCCCTTACAAATAGACTTACAATTTTACCTGTATGGTTGGTAGTGAGTTAAGCAGTGGTAGTGGTTTAGGTAGTGGTACAGGTAGTGGTAGTGGTTCAGGTTGTGGTAGTGAAATAGGTAGTTTTAGAGAGTTCAGTAATATTGATGAGCTGCATAGTAGTATTGAGTTTAGTTGTGGTCATGAGTCAATGCCAATATCTTAATATTCATATTTTTAATTGAAATTAGATACATTCTTTTAAAAATGAAAATTCATTTCAACCTAAAATATAGTTCCACAAAATCTAGTTCACTCTTTAATTGGTAGTCCTTCTTATTTGTCATTAAATTGAAAACAAAAAGTTTAAAGTATAATATACATTTTAAAATACATTTGTAATAGATCAATGTAATATAAACTATTTTAATGCACTGATTTTATTTCAACTATTTGTTTACTTCAAACATTTGTCAGCAATGCTTTATCTAGTCTATTCCAGGATTTCAATTCACTTTCTATTTAAGGATCTCTTGTAATCAGTCCTAAAAATATTGCTAATTATGGCATATCTCTCCATTTTCATTGAACTTATATTTGATTTTTAATTCTCTCTAGATCTATTGATGCCTAAGTTTTTCAAATTAGACTTAAGACAATCCACTAGCTTTATAGCTTATTAGTAAACATTTTCTTATCTGTATTTCTGATCTGAAATCTGAGGCTTAACATTCTGTTTTACTCTTTCAAGCAAACTGTGAAGTTTTAAAAACTATTTTCTTAATTACATAAAAGTAAATTGTTTATTCCTATCAATTTTTAAATGGGCCTATTAGTTTCTTTTTTAAAAAAATGTTTGAGGGTTTTCTCTTACTGTTCTCATCTTGTCAGAGTGATGCGTTAGGGTCATCTTTAGTTAGCTGTTTGTTCTAATCAATTTTTCTCAAGCTAGTTCTGAGCATTTATCAAATCCATTTTTATCTTGCCTTCAGTTGGCTGTTGGTCTATTCAATTATTAGGTCATTTACTAGTGACACTTTATGAAATCAACTTATTTTAGACTGTTGATCAGTTTGGTAAAATCTTGATACTGATTGTCTATTTCATAAAATTTTAGTGGGCTACAGTTTTTAGACCCTTAGGAAATGTATGATCCTGTTGATAAAATGCAATATTCCTCTATTCTACTTAAGTCAGGTTAATCATAAGCTTATCTAAACTGAATACTTTTAGGTCACACTCTAATCCATGAGGTTAGGCTGACCTTAATCTCACCTTTAACATAGACCTACTCTCTCTCTCTCAAGGTCACAATCTAATCCATGAGGTTAGGCTGACCTTTATCTCACCATTTAGCATAGAACTTCTCTCTCTCTCTCTCTCAAGGTCACACTTTAGCCCATGAGGTTAGGCTGACCTTTATCTCACCACTTAATATAGGCTGACATTGGGAGTACAGGTCATGCTGACACTGAAAACAGATCATGATGACATTGAAACCAAAAGGATAAGCTGACATTGAATTACATGTCATGCTGACACTGAAACCAACAGGTCAAGCTAACACTGAAACCAACAGGTCAACTTGACATTGAATCATGTCACATTCTGGCTTAAAGTAGTCAGGCTGACATGAAAAAAAAATGAAATTTGAGAATGTAGCGCAGTTTAAAAAGAAACACATTTCTGTGATGGTGTCCTCATTTTCTGTCCCCCTGCTATAGGTCTATGTACAGCTACAAACTATTCATTAAATGTATTATCAGGGCTGTTTTCATCAATGCCTTTGCTGTGATTAGCCTGACTAAACAAAACTATTTTCCTGTCTGACTTTTGCTAAAGTTGTGCCCATCATTTTGGTCTGACGAATTTTTATGACTTTTTGTTGTAGGATTTTTATTTTATGTTTAGAAGTTTCTTGAGTGATGCTCTGTAAGTGATCGTTTTCTGCTGATTATTTTTCATAACTTTTTAAAGACTACACTTAAATTTTCTTCTTTGAAATTTAGCATTGCTGACATAAGTATTACTTATTCAGAGGGATGAATAGGGATATTTACAAGACTACCAATCTAGAAAGTCGTAACAAACAGATTGTCTGGGGCGGGTGGGACACGGGGGAGGGAGGGAGGGAGTCTGGGGCGGGTGGGACACGGGGGAGGGAGGGAGGGAGCCTGGGGCGGGTGGGACACGGGGGAGGGAGGGAGGGAGCCTGGGGCGGGTGGGACACGGGGGAGGGAGGGAGGGAGCCTGGGGCGGGTGGGACACGGGGGAGGGAGGGAGGGAGTCTGGGGCGGGTGGGACACGGGGGAGGGAGGGAGGGAGTCTGGGGCGGGTGGGACACGGGGGAGGGAGGGAGGGAGCCTGGGGCGGGTGGGACACGGGGGAGGGAGGGAGGGAGCCTGGGGCGGGTGGGACACGGGGGAGGGAGGGAGGGAGCCTGGGGCGGGTGGGACACGGGGGAGGGAGGGAGGGAGCCTGGGGCGGGTGGGACACGGGGGAGGGAGGGAGCCTGAGGGCGGGTGGGACACGGGGGAGGGAGGGACACGGGGGAGGGAGCCTGGGGCGGGTGGGACACGGGGGAGGGAGGGACACGGGGGAGGGAGCCTGGGGCGGGTGGGACACGGGGGAGGGAGGGACACGGGGGAGGGAGCCTGGGGCGGGAGGGACACGGGGGAGGGAGCCTGGGGCGGGAGGGACACGGGGGAGGGAGCCTGGGGCGGGTGGGACACGGGGGAGGGAGGGACACGGGGGAGGGAGCCTGGGGCGGGTGGGACACGGGGGAGGGAGCCTGGGGCGGGTGGGACACGGGGGAGGGAGGGACACGGGGGAGGGAGCCTGGGGCGGGTGGGACACGGGGGAGGGAGGGACACGGGGGAGGGAGCCTGGGGCGGGTGGGACACGGGGGAGGGAGCCTGGGGCGGGTGGGACACGGGGGAGGGAGCCTGGGGCGGGTGGGACACGGGGGAGGGAGGGACACGGGGGAGGGAGCCTGGGGCGGGTGGGACACGGGGGAGGGAGGGACACGGGGGAGGGAGCCTGGGGCGGGTGGGACACGGGGGAGGGAGGGACACGGGGGAGGGAGCCTGGGGCGGGTGGGACACGGGGGAGGGAGGGACACGGGGGAGGGAGCCTGGGGCGGGTGGGACACGGGGGAGGGAGGGACACGGGGGAGGGAGCCTGGGGCGGGTGGGACACGGGGGAGGGAGGGACACGGGGGAGGGAGCCTGGGGCGGGTGGGACACGGGGGAGGGAGGGACACGGGGGAGGGAGGGACACGGGGGAGGGAGTCTGGGGCGGGTGGGACACGGGGGAGGGAGGGACACGGGGGAGGGAGCCTGGGGCGGGTGGGACACGGGGGAGGGAGCCTGGGGCGGGTGGGACACGGGGGAGGGAGGGACACGGGGGAGGGAGCCTGGGGCGGGTGGGACACGGGGGAGGGAGGGACACGGGGGAGGGAGCCTGGGGCGGGTGGGACACGGGGGAGGGAGGGACACGGGGGAGGGAGGGACACGGGGGAGGGAGTCTGGGGCGGGTGGGACACGGGGGAGGGAGGGACACGGGGGAGGGAGCCTGGGGCGGGTGGGACACGGGGGAGGGAGCCTGGGGCGGGTGGGACACGGGGGAGGGAGGGACACGGGGGAGGGAGCCTGGGGCGGGTGGGACACGGGGGAGGGAGGGACACGGGGGAGGGAGGGACACGGGGGAGGGAGTCTGGGGCGGGTGGGACACGGGGGAGGGAGGGACACGGGGGAGGGAGCCTGGGGCGGGTGGGACACGGGGGAGGGAGGGACACGGGGGAGGGAGCCTGGGGCGGGTGGGACACGGGGGAGGGAGGGACACGGGGGAGGGAGGGACACGGGGGAGGGAGTCTGGGGCGGGTGGGACACGGGGGAGGGAGTCTGGGGCGGGTGGGACACGGGGGAGGGAGGGACACGGGGGAGGGAGTCTGGGGCGGGTGGGACACGGGGGAGGGAGTCTGGGGCGGGTGGGACACGGGGGAGGGAGGGACACGGGGGAGGGAGTCTGGGGCGGGTGGGACACGGGGGAGGGAGGGACACGGGGGAGGGAGCCTGGGGCGGGTGGGACACGGGGGAGGGAGGGACACGGGGGAGGGAGCCTGGGGCGGGTGGGACACGGGGGAGGGAGGGACACGGGGGAGGGAGTCTGGGGCGGGTGGGACACAGGGGAGGGAGGGACACGGGGGAGGGAGCCTGGGGCGGGTGGGACACGGGGGAGGGAGGGACACGGGGGAGGGAGCCTGGGGCGGGTGGGACACGGGGGAGGGAGGGACACGGGGGAGGGAGCCTGGGGCGGGTGGGACACGGGGGAGGGAGCCTGGGGCGGGTGGGACACGGGGGAGGGAGGGAGTCTGTGTCGGGTGGGACACGGGGGGGGGAGGGAGGGAGGTTGTCTGGGCGCTGATCCGAGGAGGCAGTCGGAGTGAGGCTGGTGGGAACGGAGGGGAAGGGAACGAGTGCGAGAGGAGTCGCGGCTGACCTTGTGGTAACGGAGAAGAGTTATTGGTGGAAGACATTAAGGGCAGACTAATATAAGCTGTTCGGGTTTAAATGAAAGGGAAAGAATGAATATGGGAATAGTTTGTAGGTTGGAGAGATGGAACCAAGGATTTCCTTTTTGTCATCTGTTTTCAATAGTCACCACAACGCTACCAAATAAGTCTTGCTACAATTATTATGTCAGCCACACACGTTAAACATTTTAAGTCCATTTTTAAAAAAATACATTTATTAGAATACATGGATGAATGTATGGAGAGAAAAGTTTCGCAAACATTTGCAATCTATTTAAATATTTTTAAAAACCTACCAACAAGTTAATATTTTCATTTTCATTTCTCATTTATTTATGAGGCAGTTTGGAGGAGCCGAGAATTTCTTGCTTCTGATGGAGAAGCTTTGTTAAAATTCTTTTGGAAACCGTGTGTGCGTGTGTCTGTCCATAAGAGGTTAAAAAAATATTACAAATTGTCTATTTTTTCGTACACGCAAAAAAATATTATACAGTCAAGGATTTCATAAATGGGTTATATAATTGGTCGAAAAAAAGATATAACATTAGTAGATAAAACGTGCCACACAATACAATCGAACAAGCGAAAGGTAAGCATGGAATAAAATTTCATTGAGAAAATCATGAAGATCACTGGTATATAAATAAATAATTATATATATATATATATATATATATATATATATATATATATATATATATATATATATATATATATATATATATATATATATATATATATAAAATATTGCTTTATATATAATATTGTTTTATTTAATATTGTTTAATGCTGTTTCGTCATTATTTTCCTGTAACTTTGAATATGAAGACAGCACCGTCCCCGCCATGGTAGTAGTTTGGTTCCACTCTCCGAGAGACAGCCTCCCACTTGCCCTCCAGTTCCAGCTGTTTCATGCGTGGTTCAAGTCTGCCGTTAAACTCCTCTACGCTGGTCAGATATTTTTTATACATTACGATGATCACGTGACCACCTGTTGGTTGAAGTCAAAGGGCTGCACATTAAAGGCATACGTCATACCTACCCCCCTCAGATCCTTCTCTCCCCCCCCCTCCCCTACAATATACATGGCATGACTAATTGAAGTCAGTAGTCAAAATGCTCCTCTTGCAAGTTTTTGTTAAGCCATTTTGTTAAAAATTGAGAAGCAGCATAATCTTCTTCTTCTTCTTCTTCTTCGTTCTTAATTATTAGTGTTGAAGGGGATCGAGATTTATATGCCAGTGGGTTTGAACTCGAGACTTTGTTCGAATTTATCAACCATGAGCTTTTTGCCGACTCGACCACGCCTCCAACACAATTAAGCGTTACGTGTCAACTGGTTATGCGCCATTGAGGCCATTGACTCCGATTTCAGCCTGCTTTTTCTTTTTGGATTTGCTTCCATAGCCTTTGTCCAACCAAGAACAAACTACAAGGCAGCAGTTGTTTAAATTTGGAGTTGTCTCCTAGAAGAGTGGCTGTCCCCAGCTAACGAGCCTCATCTGCCCGAGGGTTCGAACTCGAGACTTTTCGGTTTAGCAACCATGAGCTTTACCGACTCGACCACGCTGCCCCTTAGCAGCATAATAAATTATGCAACTATTTGAAGTACCATAATATATGCAAATATTCCTAAACTTCTTAATTTATTCTAATAGATACCGACTAAAATATGCATGCCTTTGTATTCAAACACAAAAAAGAAATTTTCACATACTTCAGCATTTATTGATTATATACACTCACATACTTGTATAAATTAACTTAGAATTTCCAATTACATGTAGGATAGATAACACTGACTATACACCCATGAACAAGGAGAGAGAGACCAGTTTAAACCAGACATATCCGAATCTATCAACCCACACGACTTCATTTCATCTCGCTCGCCCTGCATCAATATGGTCGTAGGGGAGAGAGTCTGGGTAGGGTGGGACCAGCTAGCTCTAAACAACAAATTGCTTCAGTTTAAAATTGGTCTATCTTTACAAGGCCTATTTATGCCTGTTTCCAATCCGTCTAACTCTATTTGCTAATTTTAACAGATATGGATAAATACATATCATATAAGCCTACCCTCCATGGTGTTTGAACTTGTATAAAGTGAGTATACAACGATCAAACATTCAATGGTCTAAAACAAAAGGAGAGTTCACTTGTTTCTGGGACCTCGGCATGTGAAGGGATAGAGTGCTCAGCACTATACCAAACCTTTTGCTAATGCGAGTGGACGTTCTATTGATTAGAGTCCGGATTCGATCTCAAGACTTCCGGGTTATGTCTAACGCACTACCGCTAGGTCACACCGTCGATATATAACCTTAAAAACAAAACTGATGTATACTGACATATGATATAAACAGCGTTATAAAACTGATTTATGATGAAACATGAAATAAACAGCGTTAAAAAGGATGTATCACGATAAATGATATAAACCTTAAAAACTGTAGTATTATGATATTTGTTATAAACGACGCGTACCTGGTTTGGTTAAGCGAATCATTTCATCCAGTCCACTACATGGTATATGACCAGGCGACATACCCCCACACACCACCACAGCATCGTAATCTGAACAGGTTTAACATGGACGGTTGTAGTGGGTTAAACATGACAAAACTAGGAAAACAGATATTGAGGGTTGTATTGGGTTAAATATGACAAAACTAGGAACACACAAACTACGAAATAATTTTTTAAAAGTTTTGAATTGGGTGGGCTAATAAACACCATCCAGTTGACGAGAATCCTTCCATTATATTGTTGACAAGGATCAAAGAAGTTTTATTTTTATTGATTTACAATAATAAAAAAATAAGAACTTTGTTGTACACGAACTCTGTGATCGATTTTTGACAGCCACACATATTATAGTTGTTTGTTTACATAACTTTCCAGATATAGTTTCACAATAAAATTATTCTATTTAAATCACATGACCTAGTCCTGCCAATTTTGTTAAAATTTTGTATGACAAAATCGATGTTAGTTAGGCTATTCAATAGCGGGATGTCTTCGTTTATGTCGCCATAACCACATGAAAACCAAATTGCGTTAGCCTTTTAAAAAAACGTGTTTAATTACCGAAGTACTAAAACGTCAAAATTTTAAAGAAAAAAAAACAGTCAATATTTTATAACCCTGCTAATTTTAATTATACCGTGCATGTTTTTTTTTTTTTTAATTTTAAGGGCCTCTCAAAAAACTTCGAGGCTATTCTCGGCAGGGCCCATTGCAAGCAGAAAGGCCTAAATTACAGTATGAACAGTTATATAAATGAATGTAAGATGTTACCAGGTTCGATATAGGCTGAGTCTTCACCGAGAAAATTCTGGAAAGTTCGTAGATAAAGATTCTTTGATTTGACGACGTTTATCATATTTTCGACAGGCTCTAAAGCATCTATTTTTACAAAGCCTCTGTTCTTCAGCTGTGGGTGGCAGGAACAAAAGACCATTCTAGCAACAAGCTATTATATATATATATATATATATATATATATATATATATATATATATATATATATATATATATATATATATATATAGTCAGAGGCGTTGCGAGGGTAGGGGGCGGTGTGCGTACCCCAACGGGTGACACCATTTAGGGGGTGACACCATGCCGAAAAATTGCAAAATATATAGTAGAAAAATGCTTTTTGCCTTTTCAATTAATAATTAAATAGAGTTAATCCACCTGTATTAATAACTGACTATATATAACCATCTTTACTATTAACTGTGCACACTTTAAAGCTATCATCTGGGGGGGGAGGGGGGACACAAACTGAAGAATTTAGAGAGGAATAAAGGCGTGTTGTGTATTTTGATTAACAGATAAGTCAATCAACGAAAGTAGAGGAAGTGACACTAAAATCTTATGACGAACGATAAAAACGATGCATTTTCCACATGAATTAATAGGTGGATTGTATGCACAATTTATTGTCATGGGAAGGGGATATCACCAATTGCAACTATATATATAGATATATAAGCCAATATATATATATATATATATATATATTTTATATATATATATATATATATATATATATATATATATATATATATATATATATATATATATATATATATATATATATATATATATATATATACATATATATATATATATATATATATATATATATATATATATATATATATATATATATATATATAACAGGTCGTTTTCGGGGGAGGGGGGGGTGACACCATGAAGTACCGCACTGGGTGAAACTTGACCTCGCGACGCCATGTATATATATATATATATATATATATATATATATATATATATATATATATATATATATACATATATATATATATATATATATATATATATAATGATATTATATTTAGTGCATTACGAGAATAAATAAATGTTCTCTTGTACGAAATTTACATTTACCTGTGTGGCCGCAGGTTCTATTGCGTCTGCACGGCTGAACAGCTTTGTTTAATGTCGTTATGCCCCAGCTACTATACACTTAAGGACAGGAGCACAGCGACAAGCTTCAATAAAATATTGCCACACGTCTTACATGCTTTTTTGATACGGTTATGTTGCAGTAAATATACGGTTAACTGTTGCAGAAAAACGGCATGCTTCAATTTCATACGGTCTCAATACCTGTTTTGTGTGTGTTAAAAAAAAAACATACATGCCCAGCAACCAGCCCAGTGCCGGCAGCGATGTCTAAAATGTAGAGGTCCTTTCTCACAGCTTCAGGAAACAAATCGGCCATCGCTTCTGCCGCTATGAGCGGAGCTCGGTAGTTTGTTTCACAAAGGTCCTGAGGTTCAAAACATGCACAGATGGACATTTTTATACAAATAACAAAATAATGTTCTACATTTTAGAACACATCCGAATAGACATTTTTACACAAATATATCAAACTGTAGTACATTTTAAAACATGCACAAATAGATACTTTCATATAAACAAGAAATAAATGTAATGTGGTTTAAAACACGGAGAAAGAGACATTTTACACACACACATTAAAAAAAATCCTGCATTTCGAAATGAAGAGCCCAGTGCTAAAAGTACTTAAGTCACATTTTTGTGAAAATCAAACCAAGCATTGATCGTTATTCCTCTAGTTTAACTTTATCTTATAAACAAATAGTGATACTGAAGAATTTATTTAATTTGCTCTTCCAAACAAACAAATAATATAAAAACGTAATGTTTCATAGTAAATTTTAATCTTTGAACTCATTTTTCTCAAAATGTTGTTTTTGTGACTTAAGTACTTTTAGCACTAAGGTCTTCAAATAGGCCTACGCACAAATAGACAATTTAACACTAATATTTACACAAACCAAAGCCATACATTTCAAAAGACGCAATTTTTTTTTACACAAATATGAAACATGTGTCCTGCATTCCCAAAACACTTACAATTAGATATTTTTATACAATCATTAAAAAATACGCACAAATACACACGTTAAAACGTTATGTGTCTCAACACATAATTAAATAGACCTGTTTATAATAAAAAAAAATCAGATAAGGGCCTTATGGTTAAAACCACATAGGCCTCAGATAATCACTTCTCCATATTTCGCAAACAAATGTAATGTTTACCAAGTCTTAAAGTATCATATAGTTAAAGTAAGAAATTTTTTTTAAGCAATGCTTGAAATACCCCTAGTCACATGAGGTTGGGGCGATCTGAATTTCTCTTTTCCTAAACTATCAAACAGTTAAATAAAGTAAACAAGATTTAAAAAATAAATAATTACCTGCTCATACTGTGCATCTATAGCCCATTCAGAATATTTTTGATAAAGCTCATCCTTTGGGACAACTTTCTCATATTGCACAGTGTCAGCTGTTGCAACTCCTTGCGACATGTTTTACCTAATGGTCTGACATCTAAGCTGGCCTCGTTAATAAACCAAGCATTACCTATCGAATTTTCTCTGTCATTTCTATTGGCAGACAAAAATAGTCTTTTTTTTTTTGACGACACGTTTTATTTACTTGAGTATTTACATTAGCGACCTCTTTTTGAATACAAAATGTTGAACATTCTAAACCGTAACTATTTATGTGGGTATTTGACAACCCGTATGGTTAGGGACATGTCTGAAGCTGACGTTGAGTTTAGGGTTCAAGTATCGTGGCTGTAGACTAGTTGCAACGTTGCTGTTTTTACGAGGTGTTATTTAATTTTCTTCCTGTCTGTCTGCCGTCAGTTGTGTCTGTCTTCAAGATCGAAACAGGAGAGCGATATTTTGAGCACTTTAACCGATCAATGGCTCTGAAATTCGGCACGTGGGTCAAGACCCGATGACAATACAACATGACATTGGATGACTAATTATTTTTTATCCGTGCGCGCAGAGACAGCCTTTTTGAGCCAAGAATTTCTGTCTCAGCCACGTTTGTTCGTATTGTCCAGTGAACCTAATTTCATTATGTTTATGTGTAAGCCCTGCTAGGGGGGGGGGGGATACCTAATATCTACCCTTCTAGGCTTATCTATCAAAATCTGTCCGGTCAGTGCAAGCCCGGCTAAACCCAGACTGGTTAATAACCTAACCTTAGTCTAAATAATAAGCTACTAAAATAAAACAAAAACTTTTACAGTTAATAAAATTTATTCAACAAAATATGGAACCAAAAGTTATAAAAAAAGAATAGATAAAAACTGACACAAAACAGAACCAAACGAAACAAACTTTTTACATCAAACAAAACAATTCATATATAACAAAACACCCAGCCAAGTTGCCCAAGCAACCTCACTGGAAGGGGGGGGGGGAGAGAAAAAGAAAAGGAAAACATAAGAAAAAACGCATGGTAATGGCAGATATATACATAAATATATACACAAGTTCAAAATGCTACCTACTACTTCTATCTAGCTAAAGCCTCGAGTAAAACTAATCCTTACTATTACAATTCTAAAAGCAATTCTCAAAAACACAACTAACCACTGTCTAACCAAGAACTAGCAACTTAAAAATAACGTGTAAACAAATTCATCGTAGAACCAATCTTTCCTATACAAGGAACAGCCCGAAGCCATTGGTCTACATAAACAATATCCATATTGATAACATTAAAGTTAACACACTCCACTAGGGCCCCAATGAAGGCAGACACCAAGCAAGCGATACTCAACATGACGTTGCACGAAACAGCACACACATTAATTTTAAACAACCTAAAACTCGAGGCAACTAAAATATACTAATCTAATTACTGTCTAAAACAACTGACTATTGACTAAGCCAATCCTAGTCAATAACAACACATTATAAAACAATCAAGTAAATGCACACACGCATTCACACTAGTTTAGGAAACACTCCTAAACACACTGGCCTAAACCACGTGGTCCGAAACACACGCCACGGGTTTAGAAAACACAATACATTTAAAAAAAATAACAAAATAACACACCACGTGCATACCAGACATGCCGATGCTCACTATCTCGTTTTAGACGAAAATGAAAGAAAACGAGAAACATCGGCAGTCTCATTCATACAAATCACTTAAAGATAAAGTATAAAAAAACAAATACCTCCACGCGTGAGGTGCGCCACGCGCCCACACAGAAACCTTACCCGACCTACATCTCGCCGCGGGTCAAAAAAAGGAAGAAAATCGTCCGAGCGGTCAATTTATACGGACCGCTTCGGACGGAAGGGGACCCCGTGGCTGTTCCCCATTGGACCACCATGCACTCAAAGATTCGCAACAAATAAAATAATACAAAATAATCCATTCACCCGCTCACATATGTATTTAAGTTGTTTTATGTAAAGAGTTTTCGAGCAGAAAGCAACGACAGCTGAGTTTAACATAACAGGGCGAGGGCGTTTTAAAGTTTTTTATGAGGAGTAACTCATGGTGCCTAAAAATATGACTATCACTTCTAATAACAGACATGCCTACCAAAAGTAGGAACAGTCATACTTTCAAAGAAGAATGTGAAGCCAAAAAGAGAAACATAATGCGCTAATGCTACTTTACTAGGTCGAAAATAAAAATAAATAAAAATAACTCTAATGGCATTATACACAGCAGCATACATATAAGCATAGGTATACTGATTAGTAGGCCTCTAGTTATATAACTAGTCTACAGACTACATCTAAATACTGCTTAATGTCAGCTTACATTAAGGGGGTATGCTCCTTAAAAAAAACCCCCACCAAAATCCTGGATTTTCATCATGATGGTTTTCTTGCACTTTTGGATACTTTGTCCATTTTTTTATTAAGAAAATAATAGCGTAAATTTAAAAAAAACTATTGTTTAAAATTCCATTTTTAAAATTCCATTTAAAAAAAAATCTTTTTTTCTTTAAATTACAAGCTCTCTGCGAAACGTTTTATATCCGTCATCATATTGTATTTCGAATATTGAAAAGCTGCATTTCTCGTGTATTTGATAAGCGTATTTTCAATAATCTCGGAACACCCAAAGCCTACAATCGGCTTTACAAATTACACTGATATGCTTCTTTCTTGACCTACTTTTCTTTACCTTTTTGCTGTTTTTCTTAGTTCGCTTTTTTAACACTAAAAAGCCTACTAATTTTTCATTTATTAAACAATGCCTACCGTATTTTCAGTAATTGTTCTTCGTGCAGAAAAAAAAAAATCTTTTGTTACGAGGGAATTGTAATGGTTTCAAAGAAAAAAGTTTAAGGTAAATAATAAACAAATTTTGAAACTTTTGAATACTAAAAAGGGTACAATTTTTAGACCTTGTAAAATTCTTACTAATAGCTATTTCAACAAGTTGTCGTGATCAAAGTTTTAATATATACTGAAATATAAACAGTTTACCCTTGATTGATATAAGTACATAAATAAAAAACCTTAGCATATTTAAAAGTACTGAAAAAGTCAAAATAGTGGAGGTTGTTTTCTGGTTTCCATGAAAACCAAAATTATTTTCAATTATTTTTTTTTTTGTTTTGCTGTTTAATACTTACTTTTATGTGCCAAACATGGTAAAAGTATTCAAAAAGGCTTTAGATCTTAAATTGTAAAAAAAAAAAAAATTAAAAATCGGAGCATATTCCCTTAAAAAAGCTAACCAATAGCCTGAGAACTACCCCCCCCTCGACACAATAAAAACCACGAATTTAACATAACATTATTGATTTGATAATTCCTGCCCAGTAGCGTAGCGAGGGGGGGGGGGGGGGGGGGGGGGGGGGGGGGACATATGTCCCCGGCGCCAACCTTAGGGGGGGCGCCAAATTGAAAGTTTGAGGGGGGGGGGTGCAAATGAAAAGTTCGAGGGGGGGTGCAAATCGAAAGTTTGAGGGGGGGGGGGGGCGGGGGTGCAAATGAAAAGTTCGAGGGGGGTTCAAATCGAAAATTTGCTCCCAAGGGGGCGCCAAATTGAAAGTATGTCCCTGGGCGCCGGGAAGGGTCGCTACGCCTCTGTTCCTGCCTTCCTATATTCTAGGCCATATGAACGAAACATACTGAAAGCTTCAAAAGTAGCTGAAAAACAAGTTGAGAAGTTACGACCTATCTAGTAAAAGTCCCAGTTATTTCTTAGTTGTTAGTAGTTACAACAATACAGATCCAACCTTATAGTAGTATCTATAATCTAGATCTAGAAATTAGCGAGTCTGTCATGATTTTATTATATTTTTCTCCCTATATGTTATTTGAGGGATAATTTAAATCCACAATTCATTTGGAAATACCCTAAAAAAGTTCGGAAGCTAGATTGTCCACATTATCTATTAGTAGATCTAATATTAGATCATACTTGTAAATATTTAAGTAAATAAGAAAATGGAAAGGTGCGCCAAATAAAGATAATCCCTTTTCCTCGTTTTTTTTTTCAATTCAATTTACTAGTTTTATTTATTAATTATATTTTTGAAAAAAAACGGAACAAACTTAGACGAAAACGGAATGGCGGAACAGAACACGATTTTTTGTAAAAAAAAAAGTGGAACAATTACGCTTTTTGGTGAACCGTAGGCATGTCTGTTTTAATAATAAAAAAATAATGTAAAGCTCCTTTCCATATCTGGTTTAGTAATGTAGCTGGTGAACAAAGATTGTCAGGAATTTTTCAATTGATTGCTAGATTTATCAAATAATGATAGTTGTCTGGATGCTTGCGAGTGAGAATTAATTCACACTGTAGATCCTACGTTTAACAATAGTATCAGTTTTTATTTTTTGTTACCACTGCGCAACGCGATCTTACTAGATAGGCTTAACGTTTAATAGATGGCTTGTTTTTTTCAAAGAGGGTTTAACCATATGTCAGAACTCTGCTCTTTTCAGTGTTTTTTAACGTAAAGTCAACTCACTTTATTGTTATAAGCGAATGCTGATCTGGACTAAGCTATTCTGTATAAAGTCTGGGTAGATGGTGATGACATCTGGCATTTATACTTCAGTGTGTGCATATGTTTAATATTTGGAAAAAATATTAAAATAATTCTGTGTGCGCTTTTTTCTGTTTGTGATTTTTTTCTGTTTGCACTTTTTTTCTGTGTGCGCTTTCTTCTGTTTGCGTTTTTTTCTGTAGTTTTTTTTTTCAATTTGCGCTTTTTTCCGTTGCGCATCTTTCTGGGAACCGTTATTTTGTTAGCGTTTAGCTTAATAATTTATTTTATTTATTATTTATTTATTATTCATACGATGTTCGCGATAGAAAGAAATTGCCTCAGCAATGTGCTCTGAAGGAATATCTACACCAATGCTACACACAAAGGACGTTCTACCGCCACCCACGCGCAGGGTAACGCGGGCGCTAGTATAATTTATTATTATATTGGCCCTCTCCATATGACATTTATGAGAGTAAACAATGTTTTCCCAGTCTAATGCTAATTGGAGGTTTATGTTCTTTTATTAAATTCAGT